TTCACAAACTCAGTATAAATGTTATTTATTTCAAATTTATTAGACCTCATTAGGCTTGTAATAATAATCGAGTTTTTACGGAGTTTTTACGATTAGATTCATGGTTTGCATTCATGAAATTCGAATTAGAATTGAAATAAAACTCACAATGTGAACAGATGACCTATATCAGGTCGTGTGACAGTCAAATAAATCAAACTCCCAACGAGCTGACGATATAATGTAGATCCTCAAGAAGAGAGTCGTCAACTGGAGTAAGACGAACATCATAATCAAGAGGTGTGGATGCTATCTGACAATCAGTGAGATCGGATCGAGCAAGAAGTCAGAGGCATACTTGACTTGAGACAAATAAAAGCTATCAGAGGAATCAGAGATCTCAAGACCCAAAAGTTGGCCCAAACTCTTCATCTCAAAATGCGCAACCAATTAGAAATAGGATAGCAACACCTAAACCCTTTGTGTTCTATCCCATAACCCAAAAATAAAACATACGAGCTTGAAGTTCTAATTTGTTACGCTCATGAGATGATAGAAGAGCAAAACAGACATGACCAAAATATAATAGTTGTGTATAATCATGTGACAGGCCGTACAACCTCTCAAAAGGATTGGTATTACGAAGAACTAACTGTAAAACGGGGGAAAAAAGGGTGCGTTCTCATGCACGTGAAGCGCACCATAACAGGGAAAGCCCAAATGTAGCCCAAGTGAGGTTCCATTAGCACATTAGACTTATAAATTAAGCATATTTTCTCTATATAAACGATGTGGGACAACTCACAAGTGATATTCTAACACACACCCCTCACTTGTGAGTCCTTAATAAGAAAGCTCAAGCCCATATACGGAGCTGGGTGCCCAAGCCCTACTAGAAACAGGCTTCCATAAACGGGTACGTGGAGAAAAACAGGTACACCATCGCAGGATCGCAATAGAACCGTCTCTGATACCATGTAAGAAACGCAGGAAATATGTGCGGTCCCATGCACGTGAAACGCACCATGACAGTGAAAGCCCAAATGAAACCCAAGTGAAGTTCTATCCCAAAATCAATTGGTGGAAAGAGGAGTAGCTCATTAGACTTATAAATTAGACATATTTTCCCTATATAAACGATGTGGGACAACTCACAAGTGATATTCTAACACTAGCGAGGGTAACGTTTGATAGCATAAACCACAGTCAATGTTGTTTCGCCCCAGAAACGGTTATGACACTTAGTAGAAAGGAGAAGGGCACGAACAATATCAAGAATGTGACGGTGCTTACGTTCAACTCATCTATTTTGTTGGGAAGTATAAAGACGTAAAAGATGAACTATTTTGCCCTGATCAGAAAGAAAGGTAGAACCGTAGAATCATTGTATTCAAAGGCATTGTCAGTGCGCAAAACCTTGGTAGAATAAGAAAATTGTGTGTGATTCATTCTAGAATATTGAGTATATATAGTGGGTAACTCGTAACGGTTTTGAGAAAATGATCCAGACAAAACGAGAAAAATCAAAAACAAAAATAACAAAGTACCGAAAACCATTCACAGAGGCAACAAGGGAAAGACCCCAAATATCATAATGTACCAAAGCAAAAAGTTTATCAGCACTTTGACAAATTCTCAGAAAAAAAAAGAAAGAGCCGACTATTTCTCATTTTACAATGAAGACAACTAAAAAACTCAAAATGACCTGAGTTCAAAAGACTTTTACTAAACAAAGAACATATACAATGACAAAAGACGAATCTCCATTGGGTTGAGCTTTAACCTAGCTCTACAATACATAATACAACAACTATATAACTACTAATAGTAGTCATATACTCCCTCAACTTAAAGCAAAAAA